AGCTGCAAAGAACAAATTCATTTCGAAATGCAGTTGTGCCCTGGCATTGTTTGGCCCAGCTCATGAACACAACTCTTGCTCTGCAGACCTGGCATATGTTCTGTTCTTATATTAGCTTAGGAATAATTGGATTGAATAAATGGAGGGTCAGTTATTCCCTACTTGAATTTCTGTGGTCCCTCAGATTTGGAAAGAATAAAAACAAAAAATACTGAAAATATGAAAAAAAAAATCTTCATATACACATGCTAATAGATATTAATTGGTAATGTTAAGTAATGAGTCACATAAAAAAATTGTTAGTGCAGACTCTGCATGTGGACACTGTTCTCTTCCTTTCCTTGGTAGAAATTTCTGGCCTAATCTTTTTGAGAGTTTTCATTTCCTCTTGGGCACTTCCTTCAGATGATTCAGATTCAGACGGTTCAGGGGATGTCATTCACCAGAGTCAGTGATTCTGCATCTTTCAGATATATTATGCTTTTAAATTTAATTTTTTTTTAATTTTAAAGTTATGATTAATTTTTTTTCTTTTCAGTGATTGAAATAGACATATAAGGAAATTTCACCAGGCTATTTTCCTAACTTTTTTTCACTGTCAGATTTTTCAGGAGAAGATATGCAATTAAAGCCATGCAGCTGAGCCCTCACATGCACTGTTGTGGAAATGAGTCCTCTTCCTGCTGTAAAATGCGACATAGGCTGTGATAATTACTATTGCAGGAAAGCCACTCTTAAATCAAAGGAGTGATTTAGCATGTTGCATTGTAAAAAGCAATTGATATGCTTTGAGACCAAAACTTAGTGAATTTGTAGTTTTTCCTTTTATGGTGTAAATGAATGGTTATATTTTTTCCCCTTTTCAATAAAAGCTAAAGAGTTTAAGCCAACAAGAAAATATTTCCACACTGAACCAGTTTGTGGATATCTTTCCAGCAGCATTTGATTTAACACTGCTAAACTCATTACCCTTTTTTTTTTCTATGGTGAATCAAACTCAGGATTTCCAAAAATATTACTACCATTCTCGGATTGCCTGCTGACCGTATGAAAGAATCAGTTTGAGGTAAACTCCTCCTAGGTATCACAGCCAGCTTGGAGACTGGCCGAACCACATGCCATTTGGTATCTTCTTAAATGGAGAAGCCAAATTTGCAATTTGCTCAAAAAATATGTCTGCGACTTAAATATTTTCAGAGCTACTTAGAATGTCAACTTTGGCATGTTTACTCTCCAGCTGTGAAACACAGAATAACACATCAAGTGATAAAAATGGTGAATGAATTAGACAAGTCTCTTTGGTCACTGAGTAGACTTTCAGACAACTTCTGACAAGCTAAGATTATAGGTCATATTTTTTTTTTTAATCCCATTGCTGCAAAAACCTCTTTTTCAAATCTTTTTTTTTTTTTTTTTTGATTGCTTTAAACTTTGGACATGACTGTCTCTTTCTTTGCTATTTTACTGATTTAAGGTTTGAATTATTTGGTTTAACTCTAAGCCATAATTTACCAGCAGTAGTCTTGCTCTTCTCAATTTTTGTAATTTCCATCACACACTGGTAAAATTGGAGGCATCCAAAAATATACTGACTCACAGTCTAGGTATTTTGTAAATGATCTGCATCTTTCCTTTCAGTTTTTTCATTGCCTAGGTATGTGTGACCATTCTTCACATAGCTGTCATTATGCAACAATAAAATCTTCTTTAAAACATACAAATGAAAAGCCAAATGAGAATGATCAGATGAACAAAGTGGTTGGAAGAAAAAGTGTCTATGTGAAATTTTCCTCTGTAAAATTTGCATTTGTTTTAATGGCTCCACTTTATTGCGTTCATAAACAAATTGTCCCTTCTCTAGAAAGACAAGTATGTAGTACAGTGGCAGTGTGTGCCCCCTTAACCTCTGTTCTTAGCAAAAAGAGCTTTGCTCACACTGTGTTTGTTCAGCTTGCTTATCTACATAAACTTCAGCATTTGTGCCAAAATTAAAGACTGATGGTCTCTGGAGGAGAATAGTTGTTTGGATACATAGAATGCCTCTTAGGAAGCCACTGAATTTTAGGGTAAAGTAAAATAGTTGCCCTGCTGCAGTTCAGCATGGGTATTGTCTAATTTACTGTTGTATCACAGAATTGCAGTTCCATCAGAAGATAAAACAAAGCAGCAGAGTTTGGTTGTTCTGCTAGGACTAATGGAGGCATAAAACCCATCAGTGAAAGTAGTTACAACACAAATTTTGAATATTTTACCCAGACATTCAATTTAGACTACTCACATGCTTGCAGGCATTTTGAGTTGCTTATGTTGGTCTTAAACAGTTGGTACAGTCCTTACTCTTTTGACTTGTTGAAATCGTTAAATAAGATATAGTTAAGAATGGAAGTAGAATTTGGCTCTCCCTGCTCTTTAGCATAGGTCTCTGCTTTTAATCTGGAGGCTTATTAGGTGACAGTTTTTCTTTGTAAACCTGCAAGGAATTATAGTTATTACAAAGGCAACCAAATCAAGATGTATGCTATTCTCTTCCCACAGGAATGAATAGTAGAGTTTTTATTTTCAGTGATTTAAATATAGTGGTAGGTTAATCCACAGAAGTTCAGGTTCTAAACCACAAAGATTTCCTTGTGTAAATCTGAACTGGCATGTGTCAGGATGCAATGGTATGGGATCATGTAGCCAAGAACAGCTTGTGCCCTGGTGATCAGTCCCGGAATGCAAATAGAAAAATGGTAGAATAGCAGTTATCTGAGGTAGTATTACACTGTCTCTCTGCACAAACAGTCTTTTGCAATGACACTTCCATTAGCTGTAAAGACGGATTCAGGCTGTCTACAGGCAGCCTAATACTGTCATTCCTGGCTTGCCTGAGTTGGAAAAAGTATGAATTCATGGGCTGTATTGACAGGTGAAGCTGGAGAGATGTCCCCATATCTGTAATGTGCAAATCATAAATTAATAAATGTTTTCATATTGCTCAAATTAGCTTTCAGAGAAGAGTTCAACTGACAAAATTTCCCGATTTAGAATCACAAAATAGTTAGGGTTGGAAAGGACCTTAAGATCATCTAGTTCCACCCCCCTACCATGGGCAGGGACACCTCCCAAAATGCCCCTCCCTGATGCACATTACCAGTCAAAGACTTGATAACTGCCTCTTTTTTCCCACCACATTGTATTGCCTGTTTTTTTCTAAATATTTGTTAGCAATTTTTTTCATTCAGTTGAATTTTAGACACAATTTTACAATCCAGACTGAATTTTGAAGTTACCAATGACATAGAGACATTGTGACTGTGAAGTACGTATATGGAATGAGAACATCTTACAATTCCTTCAAGTCCTGGAATATCATGTGTACTCTGATTATCAAATTACCAAAGAACTTGGATTCAGTTTTGAAATTAGTGGTAAAGCAAGCAGCCTTTTGTTTGCTTTAGCACTGATAGCATACCAACCAAGCATACAAAGACTATGGCTGTTAATATAAAGATGAAGGTTGTTAACATGTAGCAAGAGTATCATTTTCCAAGAAGGCAGGAAGATGACTTTCTTTAATAAATATATATTTAATAAATATATAAGTCAACCATAAGATGCAGTGTAGAGATGCTGTTTAGGCAAAATTTTTGAAGAGCATGACTTAAGAAATACGAACTTTTTAACAACATAAGTCATACTTTCTCACCACTTCTGACAATTTTTTGTCCTTTTTTTAGAGTATTTTTATTTGAGAATTCATTGAAAACCACTAATACCATCATGCTACAAAAACCATAGTGTCCTCATCTAAAGTAGCTCTGTATTATAATTAATTTTGCAACATTGCAAATCTCAAGATTTCATTACACACTTCAAACTGAATGTTGTACATTCATATATAAATAACGTATAATATACTCTATAAATATTTATATTAACAAGTAATAAGTATAGATCAATTATATATTATTAAAACTATTTTATATTTTTTTATAAAAAAGAACTACAAGAAACTTTTTTTAATTGGCAAATAGCTTTCTAAATGAATGCATAGTGGTTTGCAATCAATGTCTAGGGGGAAAGAAATCTATTTCCCTACTCTTTCGAGGGATCGTCTGTCTATGAAAGTAATGTAGTTTTCTCAGCAGGAGGAGGATTTAGGGACTATACAGAAGCACAGCATAATTCTGGCACACATGTGGATTCCTTGAATCACAGTGTACTCAGTAAAGATTTGCTGTCAGTCCTGGATCAGCCTCCAATCTGAAAACTTCTCCCTTTTCAGGAAACTTGAAGAGGTTCAGACAATTCTAGCTAACAGATAAAAGCAGACTTCACATACAGTTTCTGATGTGTGACCCTTCTCACCCCTTACATGAAACCCTGCTGGCTGCTGCAAGAATTTTCTTTTGATAATTTTCTGAGTATACGGCATGTGTCTAAAACTGTGGTGAATTAATCAAAAAGAAAAAAAATATTGAAAGATTGTTGTCCTGGGTTCAGAAGTAGCAGTCATTTTTAATTCTTCTTAGTAGCTGGTGCAGCGCTGTGTTTTTTGACTTTCAGCTTGGGAACAGCACTGACAACACCAGTGCTTTTACTTACTGCTCAAATGTTTAGTCTAACCAAGGACTTTCTGAGCCTCATGCTCTGCCAGGGAGGAGGGGAAGCCAGGAGGAAGCAGAGACAGGACACCTGACCCAAACTAGCCAGAGGGGTATTCCATACCACAGCACGTCATGCCCAGGGTGTAAACTGAGAGTTACCCAGAAGGGGAAGTTCACTGCTGGGTCAGGCTGGGTATCAGTTGGCGGGTGATGAGCAGTTGTATGCTCTTCCCTTGTTATTTTCATTGTCATTATTATTACTGGTGGTAGTAGTAGTGATTTGTGTTATACTTTAGTTACTGGACAGTTCTTATCGCAACCTGCGGGAGTTACACTCTTTTGATTCTCCTTCCTGTCCCTCCAGGAGAAGAGGGAAGGAAGAAGAGGGGGAGTGAGAGAGAGACTGTGTGGCTGATTTACGACTGAGCTTAAACCATGACAGTTTTTTTTGGCACCTAATGTGGGGCATGAAGGGTTGAGATAATGACAGATCTGACCAGAGTGTGTCTAATCGTATCTGTGATAAGCATTCATTGTTTCAGATTAATAGTCACTCATCACAGTGCTGATTTATTGGCTCTCAAAGTTGTTGCTCTTGATCTCACAGTTTCAGCATGTCATACCTTTAGTTACAGACTGTATTTGCTGTGTTAGTGTTTATCAGGTAGGGGGCTTGGGCTAAGATTCTTGTTTCATTGTACTTTGTGATAATGACTTGTAATACAAGTGGGCTCTGGCAGCAGGGTGGGATGGATGTGGCCATTGTCTTGTACCTGGCCATCCCACTGCTCTTTGCCATCCTGGCCCTCGTCCTTGCCTCTGTCGTCGTGAGGCTGAGGGGAGCCAAGGGGGAGCAGCCCTGGAAGCTGGCGGTGGCCGAAGTGGCCCAGGAGAGGGGCCCCGGGGACCAAGTGGCTGCAGGAGCGGGATGGGAGGCCGGGAGGGAGCAGCTGCCAGTGGAGGAGGTTGGGGGGGTCAAGGAGGTGGAGTAGGCAGCTGCCAAGCAGGGGGAGGACGGGATGAGGTGGCAGAGGAACCGGGCCCTGCGGCCGAGACCAGCCCCGCGGCGGCCAAGAGCATCCCCCGGCAGCCGCCCACTGAGCACCACAAGTCCGAGGCCCAGGAGGATGTGGAGAGCAAGATACCACCTTTGGGAGCCTTGGCTGGGTCCAGCCTCAGGCATCCGGGACAAGTGGAGGATGCAGGAGATCGTGCAGCATTTCCCAGTAAGGCAGAGGGGGAAGATCTGGACTCAGAAAAAGAGAAGCTGGTGATGGGAGAGCCGGCAAGCACAGCAGCTACACCAGCCCCAATGACAAGTACAGCAGCATCATTTGAGAGTTCTGAAGGTTTTGAATGGCCTTTGGGTATCTTTGGGACCTACCTGCTGATTGTGATGGGGATCAGCATGTTGGCACACAGACAAGAGTGTGTTTTATCCACAACCATTTTGTCTGATCTTGAAAGTTAAGCAGAGTTGGGTTTGGGTCTTGTCTAGGGTTAGACAGCAATGTAGGAGGACTAAGAGATTTTCCCCAAGGCTGGACAGTCATGAGTGGCAGGGTGTGTGGGACAGTATGGGTGAGTCCTTAGTCCACTGGGCCCCTCCAGTGCTTTGGAAGCATCAGAGATGGAAGGCAGCCGTATGGAGTCCCTAGCGACAAGTTGCAGAAACTGCTGAAGGGGAGTGCGAATTACTCTGAGCCTGGTGGGCCCATGACAATTGTCCAGAAACTTATTTTAAGACTATATGTAGAAGGTAAAACTAGCACTAAAGTATTTCAGAGCAAACATAAACATCTCCTGATATCACTGTTATAAAGAAATAGAACAAGTCTCACTCACTTATTTAAAAAAAAAAAAATAAAAAATCAAGAAAAGTATTGAAAAAATATTTCTTTCTCTTTTTCTAGGTAAAGAAAGTACAGAAAATAAGAAAAAACAGACAAAGTCAGAAGGCCTACAAGTGATTCCTTCTGGTTCTTCAATTATCTAACAGTTGAGATATTTGTTTAAAAATCTTCAGGGAAACAAAGCTTCTCTGTAACCATATTTCAAAATTTAAAAAATTCTAGTGCTATGTTTTATATTAAAGTATTTACTGGAAGCGTAGTTAAAATGAAAAATACATCCAGAGAAGTGATAATAAAATATACACACACAAGTCAATAATGTTTTCACTTTCTATAATTTTTGTATCCTAAAATTATAAATAAAAACAACTACTCTTAGAAGATTGGGCTTTTAATTTTTATTTGTTATTAGGAGTGTTTGGCATTTTCAATCTGTCCTGTGTAAATGCATAAATTAGCCAGTAATAAGTGCATATTTGCGCCATCTATTTCTGAAATCACTGCACCTTCTGAATGAGTGAGTGAACAAAGTAATTCTGGTAATAATTAATATTAAGATGTTTCTTTATATCTCTGTAATGTTATATAAATACTAATTCTTTAATCTTCATGAATAAACATTTTTTCATCAGGTAGCTTTCCATTAGAAAGTCACCTACATTTGTACAAGGTTTCTAGTCAGAAACTAGAACAACTTAACTGTCTGCCTAACCACCTAATTGCTAACAAATATTTAGAAAAAAACAGGCAATACAATGTGGTGGGAAAAAAGAGGCAGTTACCAAGTCTTTGACTGGTAATGTGCATCGGGGAGGTGCATTTTGGGAGGTGTCCCTGCCCATGGCAGGGGGATTGGAACTAGATGATCTTAATGTCCTTTCCAACCGTAAGTCTTCTATGATTCTATGATCAGAAAAGAAAGACCAGAACCACAGACGGACACAGGGAACAGCAGAAGAATTCAACATATTTTTGATGCATTTTTTATATTTGTTTTCGGATTGTCTATCCTTTCTGAGAAAAAAAAAAGAAAAGAAAAGAAAAGGAAAAATAGACAATGGAATACGTACATAAACTCAGCTGGTTTTGTATTCTGCAACAGCGGGAAACTGTTGCTCTGTTACTTTGCCTATTTCAGGACTTCTCCTGGCTCTTGCCTTTTTGATGTATCTCCTCAGGCTACGTTTCCCAATGAAATTAGTATAAAGTGGCAATCTCCGAACTATGCATTTTAGTTTCATACAACTGCAAACTCTGAAATACTTTTGTGTGTTTGCTTTGTGACTTCTTCATTTAACTTGCATATTATGAGTTGGTTAAGCATACTTTTTGTAGTTTTCCAAAGCACAGAAAAACAAAGACGGAATGAGTACGCAGAGTAAAAAGATATCAGAAAGATAAATGGAACCAACAACCCACCTTTCCTCATGGAGCCCTTGAATCAGCCCTTTCCAACTTCTGAAAGGTCTGACCCTCTTATTTCAAAGACTTGCTTAACAGCCTGCTTATTCAAAAGCTAATAAATCATGATAAAATTGAGTATGATTTAGTCTTTAATTAACCATTGTAAATAAATGAATAACTCTCAATTTTTAATGAGGTAACAAGCTTTCTATTACTTTAATTTTATTTTACTTGACTTGACCTTATTTCATTTATTATTTACTTTTCCCTTTCTTTTTCTCCTCTCACTTCTCCTCCTCTTTCCTCCCCTCTTCCACCTCCACTCTTACCCCTCTCCTCTTCCCCTCCACATTTTATTTTATTTTATTTTATTTTATTTTATTTTATTTTATTTTGTTTTGTTTTGTTTTGTTTTAATCAAATATTGGAACACCATTCCATTTGCTACAGTGTCGTAGAAGCCTGCTCCATTGGTCAGTGAATTCACTGCACACAGACACTGACCTGGCATTTAGCTGCGCAAGACCTAGTAATGGCGCAAAGTAAACTAGTAAGTTAGAGAAAACATGATTCCAGTGTTGTGGTGGTTGCTCACTAGTTAGTTGTCAATAGACGTGCAAGTTCTAGTGCTGCTAAAAGTGATGTACTGTGGAAAGGCTTTTCTTACGAATTTAAAACAATTGATTTGGTGTGATGCCTTAGAGCCTTTTGCGGGAGATGTTATCTTGCTCAGTAGAAAATGAGATCAAAACTGAACTAATAAATAAATATTTTTCATAGCTTTATGTGGTTCCAAAACACTATTTGTAAATATGAAAATAAATATATCTCCTCATAGTTTTTCATGCATAGTACTAACCCATATGAAGATCAAAGTCATTACTGGTTTTGTGGATTTCCACATATTTTATTTCTCTGGTGCAATGAGAGCAGAGTGAAGCTCTTTGCAGCCTTTCTGTACAGATTTTTGTCAACAAAACACAGACACTATATTATCTGGTCCTATAAATACAATTACCAATCAATCACAAACCTCTTAGTATGACTTGGGTTTAGTCTGTGGCTTTAAATAAGTTCTGCCTATGGATAATCTCTTTTCTGAAATTCTGAAAGTGTTGGAAACTTTATCAGGGATTAATTGGAAACTGTGAAAATTGCTTACATTCAATAATTATGCAATGAAGGAAGACAGCTAAGGAAGTCCACATTTTCTTTTGTAATTTCAGTGAATCAAAGTGGCTTACAAAGTCACTAGGGATCATAACCGTTTAAATATATTCTGGAAGGAGAACTCCTTGGTTCTTAAATTTTCACTGCCTTTTGTATTTGAACTTTAACTTATATATTGGGCCAAAGACTAAACTTTTTTGTTCTGCATCATTTCTTTCCTTATAAATTAACTGATAATTGAATGACTAAGATTTGCATTTCTAATATAGTCACCAGCAACTTTTTAATGTAAACTGTATCTGCAATTCCTAGTGAGTAATGATAAGCTATTTCAGATAAAAGGTGTTACGACACATAACAGTAAAACAGTTTGAAACAGTCATAAGACAAATGAAATGATTCTTCAGGTCTGACTGGATAACTCATAGGGTATTCATTCTGTGGAAATACCCTGTACATGCAAAAAATAAATCCACAGCACCAAACTTTAAAAAAGGAATTTGCAATTTGTCTCACTTTATCTTATGATCTACCATCTCTGATAGTGAAACTGTGGTGCTAAATTTTCTTGTAGCAAGACTCTCAAGTCTTCAGAAGAAGAGACTGGGTCACCAGATATGTTTCTACAAAGACTACTCAATTTATGAACACCCTAATGAAGCACTGAGGCAGCACTGATACCATTCTGGAAGTGATGAGCTGACATTTGTAGCAGCCTGGCATAGAGGGGTATTCTGGACCATATTATAATACTTCATGAGTAAATGAATGAATGAATAAATAAAAAAATAAAAAGGGCAGATTTCCCACAGAGTACCATTTCAGAAACCTAAGGCAGTGGCCAGATTTTGCAAATGGCTCAGCATCCAACAGTTTCTAGAGTGAGCAACAAGAGGTACTTGTTGAAAATCTGGCACCATCTGTTCCAGAACTGCATTTTTCCATTTTATCCAGGCTGGAATATCATACATAGCAATGAGCAATGTATGATATTCCAGAGCAATGATTACAACCTCGTGGCCATCAGGCATATGTCAGTGTTGTGGTTTAACCTGCCAGATAGCTAAACACCACAGGGCTGGCAGGATGTGGGAAAGAATTGGGGGAAAAAAAAAGTAAAATTTTGGGTTGAGATAAAGGTAGTTTAATGAAAGAGAAACGGAAGGGAAAATAAATAATAATAATTGGAATACACAAAAAACCCAACACACAATGTGGTTGCTCATCACCCAGCAACCAGTGCCCACCCAGTTCCCAATTAGTGGCCCCCAGATAGCTTTCCCCATAATTTATGTACTGAGCATGACTCCATATGGTGTGGAATACTCCTCTGATCAGTTGAGGTCAGCTGTCTTGACTGTGTCCCCTCCAAGCTTCATGTGCTCCCCAGCTGCCCCACTGGCAGGTCAGTATGAGAAGCTGAAAAATCCTTGACTTACTGAAAGCACTGCTCAGCAACAACTGAAACATCTGTGTGTTATCAACATTATTTTCATCCTAAATCCAAAACACAGCACTGAACCAGCTACTAGAAAGAAAATTAACTTTATCCCAGCTGAAACCAGAACAGTCAGGTAACAGGCAAGGTATTTCATAGCTGCTTTTAAGTAGTCAGCATTCAAAACTTGACACACTCCTGGATCATTAAATTTTGCTAAAGAAAGTCCAAGACTTTAGGTAGTGGTGGAGTAACTTCCTACATGGCAAGTTCTGTGAACTTTTAGTGTGTTCTTGGTATGCTTTGCACTGTCACAAGACTTTCGCGTAAGATATGAAAGTGAGACCCAAGTGATTAGCAAAAGCCCCAAGGTACTGTTTGCCACAAAAGAATTATTATCCTCCCAAACTAAGCAATACTGCAATGTAGTCAGGTATCCTTTAAATATTTTCAGGGATAAAACCAAGAATCTGGGTACCTTTCCTGCCCCACACAACCCTCCAAAAAGTAGCATAGTCTCTCTGTCTCCTCATTGTAGTAGCTGTATTTCATTAGTGAGCAATGCACAAGCTCTAGAGAGCTATATAATGCTATGCTGTGCATAGGTCACTATTAATCATTAGTGATCTGTGGCTCTAAAAATGGTACAAAAAATGAGACTAGATATTCATTCCAGTTTTTTAAAGTTAAATGTGTGTCTGGTGGTAGAAAATGCCTGGATCCTGCCAGAATTTAACTTTTCATTTTTGATCTCCACAAGGGAACATAATGTGTTCAGTGATGATTTTTTTTCCAATGC